TCATGGGGTTTCGGGGGTCCGTTGGTGAGGCGACCCCGGGGGGTTTTCAGTGCAGTGGGGTTTAGTGAGGAGAAGCTGAAGCGGGGGAAGGCTGTCGTAGCAGTCCGACAGGAGCCAGCGTCAAATTCCTGTTTTATTAATAACGACCCATACGCCGTGTCAGGTCTTAACATAAGAAATGGTAATGCGGTGCTTTACCTAAAGCCAGGCATGTCACTTAGATGTAAGGCTCCCTAACACTCTTGCCTCCGTTTTTGCGGTAAAGATGACAGTACATTTTTATTTCTTAATGACTGAGGAGGTGGCTGATGAGGGGCTTGGGTGCTGGGTGTTGAGACAAAGCGTGCTCTTTCCTCAAGGCATAAAAATTGTTGCTGATCTCTGTAATTTGACGTTTGTCTGCCGCATGCCCGTCTTTCCTTCATCCCTTGCTTTAGTTATGCACACCGATTGTATTTTAATCTTAAATTGGATTAGCTGTTTCTGGTCCGAATATTGTTGTAGTTTATGATGGTAATACATAAACTGTTCATGCTTTTTTCTTCCTTTTTTTTTTTTTGTCTAGGATGACAAATGATTTTTTCTTCCACTGGATGGTACTGTGGCTTGTTTCTAGTTACTAAATGCTTTTAGGATATTTCTTTCAACTCTTTCTTTTAGGTACATCTCAGTTCCAAAGTACTCATCAAGGAGAAGGTCTACATTTGAGTGTCTTGGTATCTCTTTTCAAACACTTTAATTTACGGCTCCTGAAATAAGCAATTCAATTAAATGCTGATTTTATGGGTGTTTTGTTTGTTTGCTTGTTTTTCTTAATTTCCTTGTGGTTTTAATTCAGTTTGTATCTTGGTAAAATCCTACCAATTTATTCTGTGCTTTTGTCCTCTTTCCTCTTCAGTCTCCTTCTACCCTCCAAGCCCAATAACGCATTGTAATTATCTGACCCAAAAATATTTGCGTTATCAGTTCTTGACAGATTGTTGCAGGCTCGGATCTGCTTTTCCATGAGATGATACATTAGAAGTTTGAGCTTGTGTCTTAAATGATAATCGTACTTTATGGAGTTTTTCATACAAATTAACATCCAATATCAAATAAATGTTTTCTTAGGAGATTCTAGAATTATAAGGGACTACTGCGATCTTTTGACTTCTTGCAGTTGTGTAATTCAGCTAATTTTATGCATTAAATTCCTATATGTATTCGTGTACCTGATAACTTCTTGCAAAACGGGGGCAAAAATTTTGGAGAGCAATATTTGTAAATGATAATTTTAGCCATTGGATTTTTGTTTTGCTCTTACGTCATGAGTTGAAAGGCCTCTTAGTGTCAGTTATTTCCCTAAATGCATATTTACAGCTTTGATCTAAATATCTTCTTGTGTCAGTAATTTACAATGTTAACTGTGCATTTGTTAAAATGATTTTTATAATTTCCTTAAATGAAATTACATGTATCAGCAAAATTGCATTTTGTGGGTCTAGGCGGAGATTATGTATAATGCTTTATCTTATATAAAAATGTCATGAGAAATCACAACTCTAAGCACTGTTGCTCTATCAGCTGTTGTGTGCATGTGTTTTATGTAAACCCAACCTAAATCTTTCCCTCAGTATGTTAACCGCACTGACAACCCATAGGTTTCTAAGCATTTTTGTGTAATACGGCTATTTCCCACTGTTCTAACAAGAATGTAAGCTCCATAACTATGCTTTCTGAGATTTATAGGATAGAACAACCTATGACATTTTATTGTGATATTTTTTAAACAGTCTGAAAATCATTATTTTTCAGACAAAAAACACAGTTTCTAATTTTATATTAAAAAACGTAACTTTGGAGATTATTTTGGTTCAACAGAGTTTTGCATTCTCTAGTCTGATTTCACTGTTGATCTGCAGAGTATTTATACTTACACCGTTGTACCTGGGAACGTGACTCAGTTTTTACACAGACAGCAGTCATTTTTGTCTATAAAAGATGGCAGAGACAGACTGTTTGAAAAGAACTGCTATGCCATGGATATGGCTCTTGACTAAGGGTAATTTGAAGCCACGTTTCTGCTTCGCGTTCTTCATTCTGGCTCAAAGACACCCATTCACATATTGTCCTTGTTTTCCAGTTGGGATTGTTACCTTTATTTCACTCATGATACGTAATTCTCAAGTCATACTCATTTTGGATTTTTTTTTAAGTCTGTAGTGATACTTTTCCTGTGTACTTTATGCACATGTTAATAATATCAGAGCAAAGCAGTGTAAGCCTACCACAGAACTGACACAAACCTCTGTTGCTATTTGAATTTCTAAGTCTCTGTTTATCTATTCCAAGGTCACTGATTGGTGGGATTAAATTAAAAAGACATCCCTGAATGTGACTCATGTCATTAGGTGGGAATCTTTCAGGCACACAGTTCTTTCAGGCACACATCTGTTAAAATAGATCTCTGTATGTTTTGAAATGCAATTACTTAAAACAGAAGGCTGGAAGTGCCCTTTTCTGACTTTATGACATTGAGTTTTATTATCTTTTAATTATTATCTTGTTCCATCTGTATTTGTGCCCTTCTCTTGGTTTATGATCTTTTTTCCCTGCTTTCCTTAACAGAGCTTCTAAGCCCTATCCGAAGTTGCTTTTAGCTCAGTTATATTTGTTAAGGAATTAATTGAAAAGATGTTGCTTCTTTCTGTATTTTTTTACTATTGTTCAGTTTCCATGTATGTTTTGTAGACAGTTTGTAGAGCTTTGTGTAGTATCAGTGCTTACTGCTGCCTGGTTCGATTTATTTAGGGTGGAACAAATGGTGTGTGGTCTTCCCTGTATTGGACTGGGCAGACTGGATTCAGAAAGCACAGAGGCTCAACGCTGAGGCATAGGCCAAGTTTGCTACTGGAATAAGGCAACTGCAATGGAAAAAACATGTTCTCCTAGTCCCAGGGTAAGTTCATTTCTGAATACTGGTGTGTTTTTTAATGGCATGTTGCTACATCAGCTCTTCCCAGGTTGGATTCTTATACAGATTTTATGGTGATTTTAAATAAAATCCAATCTGACGTGATGGTAATATAGAAGCAACATTTGTGAAGAGATCACCATTTGTTACTTAAAATGGAATTTATTCAGAAATTTACTGTATATTGTAAAGT